GACATCGTCTACCGAGCTCCCTCTCCCAGAATTGACAATCTGCAGCACCACCGGCCATAGTTCCTAAAAGATATGGATTGATTTCGATGACTTTCTTTACGGTTTGTGATGCTATAGTAAATATTAAAAGGCGCATAAGTTAATAATTACACACATATCTTAAAACAAAAGCAATTCAATTGTTTTTTTTTTTTTAATTACCGATATAACTTCCGGATGAAGCACGCGAATCAGTGGCAACAATGATACCACCTTGAAATTTGAAAGCTAGTGTAGTTGTACCATGTTCGAACTTGATACGGCACTCTGAATCTGACTTTTCATCAGTACATTCTTTCAAAAATTCGACAGGCTATTTGATGAGGTAACTGTTATGTACTTAATAAGATATTAAACGAATTCAAAGTTCAAATTATATATACTTGCATTTTGACATGCGGGAATATCGAATACTGGTTGGGATAAAACTGTATGTATGTTATATATAATATATAATTTCAATGTAAAATGTTCTAATTTTCCAAAACTTTATAGGGTCCAAATTTGTTCTACGTTGACTCTGATGGCAGTCGTTTCAAAGGTGATACGTTTTCTGTTGGATCTGGTTCAACGTTTGCATACGGTGTGTTGGATAGCGGACTAGATTATGAATTGTCTACAAATGATGCTATTGAACTAAGTCGACGCTCGATCTATCATGCTACTTTTAGAGATGCTGCTTCTGGTGGCTATGTCAGAAGTATGTGTATTATTCAAATGATTTATTTCATTATTTGTCAAAAGTTCTCATTATCTTGCTTTAATGCTTTCAATTTAGTTTATCATGTTAAAGAACAAGGTTGGGAATTTATTGGCTTGTTTGATGTTGGTAATTTACATTGGGAATACCATGGTTTATAAATAAAAGTGCATTAGAAAATGATTAAATCGTAATATTTAATTAAAATGGCCAATTTATAATGTTTAATACTGGTCAACTCTTTTTTTTTTGTTGAAAAATTATAAGTTTAATCAAATTGAACGAATTGAAATTATCTACGAATAACATTAATTAATAATTAACACTAAGGCCGCTTGAAGTTGAAACTTCGTTTAACGTTATCCCCCCCCTCCATCTTCCGGGTT